AAATTGAAATATTTTACATAAACGTACAAAATATCAAAGTGCACTTTAAATATTTAAATAATAAAATTTTATCAATAGATAAATAATGAAATATAAATGTTAATATATACAAATTGAAAATATTAGTTTATTTCATTATTGATTACATTTTCTTCTCTCTTCCCATAGAAAGTTTTATCAACAAAAATTTTTTTCATTTTTTTTTTCACCCTCCTTTTGTGTGTAATATAGAAAATGTCATTTTACAGTTGAAGTAACTTTTTTTTTTGAAATTTCAAAATACCATCAATGCTTTTTATTGATAAATACATTCGAGGGTGAGATTTTGGAGAATAATGTTCCGTTGGCCTTTAGTGTATATCGAAAGGTCAGCAAAGTTATTATATTTTAGAATTGCAATCCTTCATGCTCTACTGAAAGTTAAAAATCGTTTTATTCTTTTTTTTTTTTTTTTTTTTTTTTAATGAAAGTCTTTTTTTTTCTTTTCATTGATATGTATATTTTTTTCTTTATATTAAAAAAAATGAAAAATAATGTGTGCAGTTATCCTAGTTTGCAAGTGAGTGGAATTAATTCAAAATTTAAATGACTTTTTCTAGAGCTCTTCAATTATGGCACGTTTAATGACTTTCTTTTAACAAAACAGTTTTATTGTTTGACATAATATGAAACCGTATTTATATATATATATGTAAAAAAACTAGGGTTACCCATTAAAATAAATTAGTTTGCTCTATAAAAAAATATAACAATAGTAATGATAATAATAAAAATAATAATAAAATAATATTATAATGTCCAAAATAAATAACGTAGTAATAATTATAAAAAATAAGAAGACATAAAATTGGTCCTAAAAAAAGGAATCAGAAAATAAAAATAATGCAGAATAATATTCTTACGAAAGATAAAGAAAATTTTCATTTTTAATGAACCTCTTCAAGAATCAAGGAAATAATCTTTATAAAAGTACATTTCTCAATTCTTAATTAAAAACAATATATGTGTCAGTCAAGAGAAATCTAGGCCACTCCTTTTATGTAACTGAAGTAAATTTTCATATTTTCAAGGAAGAGAAATTATATTCGTATGAATTAATATTAAAGTTGAGTAATTAAAAAAATTAAATTTTTTTTTTATATTTTCAGTAAAACCCGTGTTTTTCTGGAAAAAAAATGACCCTCAAAACGACTTAACTTTTCTTTGTAAGTAGCAAAAGTATAGATGTAGTCAGACAAATAAAATTAACTCGCATAGGTCTGAACAAATTAGACCGCAACTACTTAAGGGTTATATTTAAGTTGAAAAGTATATAATTTTAGTTAGACGAGTTAGAAAAATTTTAAAATAGTTTTTTTAACGTCACTTTATAAGTAGAAAAGTATATACAAATATTGGTTTGAATAAAAATTACCCCAATTTCAAAGAAAAAAATATTTTCGAAATAATAATGTTTATAATTAAAAAAATGAGAATACAGTACTTTAGTCATTTTTAGTCAGACTTAAAATTTATTTTAATTTGTCTGACTAAATGTATATTTTTCCACTTGAAAAATGAAATTTTTTAAATTACGGATATAGCAGAAATTTTTTTTTTAATAATTATGTTTTATTAGTATTTAAATTTACAAGCAAATAAAATACAAATTTTGTTTTTGTAATAAGAGAGTATATATGTACTTTGTTTATAAAATATTTTCTTGATACCGACACTTCGTAACAAATTTTTATAGCCGCCCTTAGTCGAGGGCATCTAAACGCACTCTGCTCTCAACATAGTTGTTTACTATACACAAGCAATGTTTGTATACACACTAAACACTACAAGGTCGAGTATTAGGAAACTTATGTACCAACCATTATCGTAAAATATGTGAATTTTTTCTATTAAAAAAAAAATAGAAAAGTTTTTTTTTTTACAAAAATGGAAAAAAATTTACAAAATCTTAAATTAGGTTTATCAAAATATTTTCCAAAAATTATTTTGAAATATAACCTATTCTTATTACTGAAAAAATGACGAAAATATAAAATTCAGAAAGTCTGACTGGATATTTACTTGTACTACTGCTAAAATTACAGAAAAGTTTATCAAGTCTGGCTTAACATTTACTTGTACTACTGCCAAAATTATACAAAATTTTATAATGTCTGACTAGATATTGACATGTACTACTACTGCGAAAATTATAAAAATTTAATAATGTCTGACTACGTATTTACTTGTACTACTGATAAATTTAGAATTAAAAAAGTCTGACTAACAATTTATTTTTCTATTATTTTTATAAATTAACCATGTTATAATGTCTGACTAGATATTTACTTGTACTACTGCCAAAATTATACAACATTTTATAATGTCTGACTAGATATTTACTTGTACTACTGCCAAAATTATACAAAATTTTATAATGTCTGACTGGATATTTACTTGTACTACTGTTAAAATTACAAAAAGTTTATAAAGTCTGACTTAACATTTACTTGTACTACTGCCAAAATTATACAAAATTTTATAAAGTCTGACTAGATATTTACTTGTACTACTGATTTTAGAATAATTCATAATGTCTGACTGAACATTTATTTTTTTACTATTTTTTAAAATTGGCCATTATGTCTGACTAAAACTGAGTTTTACTACTGAAAGAATTACATTATACCGATCTTAATATTGACATGTTCTACTGACAAAATTAGAAACCTTTTTGATGTCTGACTGAATATTTCCTTGTACTACTGCGAAAATTATAAAAATTTAATAATGTCTGACTACGTATTTACTTGTACTACTGGTAAATTTAGAATTAAAAAAGTCTGACTAAACATTTATTTTTCTACAATTTTTCTAAATTAACCATTTTATAATGTCTGACTAGATATTTACTTGTACTACTGCCAAAATTATACAAAATTTTATAAAGTCTGACTAGATATTTACTTGTACTACTGATTTTAGAATAATTCATAATGTCTGACTGAACATTTATTTTTTTACTATTTTTCAAAATTGGCCATTATGTCTGACTAAAACTGAGTTTTACTACTGAAAGAATTACATTATACCGATCTTAATATTGACTTGTACTACTGACAAAATTAAAAACCTTTTTAATGTCTGACTGAATATTTACTTGTACTACTGCGAAAATTATAAAAATTTAATAATGTCTGACTACGTATTTACTTGTACTACTGATTAATTTAGAATAATTAAAAAAGTCTGACTAAACATTTATTTTTCTATTATTTTTCTACATTAACCATTTTATGTCGGACTATAACTAAGTTTTACTACTGAAAAAATTGCATAATACCGAACTTAATATTGACTTGTACTACTGACAAAAGTAGAAACCTTTTTAATGTCTGACTGGTTATTTACTTGTACTACTGTTAAAATTACAAAAAAGTTTATAAAGTCTGCCTTAAGATTTACTTGTACTACTGCCAAATTATACAAAATTTTATAATGTCTGACTAGATATTGACTTGTACTACTGATTTTAGAATTATTCATAATGTCTGACTGAACATTTATTTTTCTACTATTTTTCAAAATTGGCCATTATGTCTGACTAAAACTGAGTTTTACTACTGAAAAAATTGCATAATACCGAACTTAATATTGACTTGTACTACTGAAAAAATTTAAACTTTTAAAACATCTGACTAGATATTTACTTGTACTACTGATTTTATAATTAAATTATTACGTAATTTTGTACTAATGATAAAAACTACATAGATCTCGAACTAAATATTGACCTGTACTACTTGTTAAAATGACAAATTTTTTTTTAAGGCCGACTAAATATTTACTTTTCTACTGATTTTTTAATTTTGTCATTATGTCTGACTAAAACCAACTTTTACTACTGAGTAAATACAGAATTGTCGAATTAAATATTGACTTGTACTACTGACAAAATTAAACGAAAGCTAAAAATAATTCTGATTAAATATTTACAAAATTACAAATTTAAAAAAAAAATTGACTTAATATTGACTTGTACTACTGATAAAATGTCAAAATTAAAAAAAATATTTTTTAAACACTAACTTTTACTTATGATATCTTTGTTTTAAAAAAAATATACTATACGTGTATGTATATATATATACACTGAAAAATTATATTCTTAACAGAATATTTTCTTGGCGCCTACTTAAAAATATTTCCCATGTAATTTATTTTTACAGTTAGAAATATAATATTCTTAAAATAAAGAAAAACTTTTTAAATTAAGAATATTTTTTTTCTCTGTAAAATATACGAAGCAGAAGTACGCAACGTTTATGATAAACGATTTTTAAAGAAATAATTTTTTAAAATGAAAAATTCTATAATTTTTTGCCTCAAAAATATTTATTACAGTTTTAATTAATCAACAAATTATAAAAAAAAAATATTTTTGATGCAAAAAATTATATAGAATTTTTCATTTTAGAAAATTATTTCTTTAAAAATTGTTTATCATAAACGTTGCGTACTTCAGGCTTCGTTAAAATATTTCTTAATTTAAAAGAAGTGTTTCTTATATTTTACGAATATTAATCTTCTAACTATAATAATAAAATACATGGAAAATAGTTTTAAATAGGCATCAAGAAAATATTCTTTTTAAAATAATAATTTCATTCACTGTATAAATTTATATGACACTGATGATAAAATTTTGGAATGTGCAAAGGAAGGAGAATTGCATTCGTGACGCATGAACTAGAAACAGTGACGAGGTTGGAAACCCCCGAGGAAAATTGTTGGTTTTACGCACACGGGATAAAACCCCGGGAAGGAAAAGCGCGCGCGCGTTCAATTTCATCCCGAAGGTACACTGGACGTCATACTTACACATACACAGACACAAATTCATATATCTATGTAGATATATAAAAGCACATACATACAACTCGTGTGCTGCTGGCGTTCGAGAGGGTTACCCTCGAACCTTCAAAGTGATGCGCGTGCGCACCTGAAATTTCCATCTCGTGCTTCAGTTCTTCGCGACACCTCGTGAAATGCGCGCCGTTTTTAGGTTTTGCCTAACGGATCGGTCGCTCGTGTCGTGTCGTCACCACTCGTGTACACGCACACCATCCGCGAATCTGATTCGTCCGTGGCCGGACGATCGTGACTTCCTGCCTCGTGGTGCGTGGGTTGTCATCCTAAAAACGTGTGGTGGAACCACCGGCAATCTTCCATTATATATGCCAATCACAATATAAAAAAGAAATTTGAACTTTTTCTATTTTTTTTTTTTTTTGAGGGGGTGAAAAAAAGAATTTATAAAAGAGAGAAAGAATAAAAATTTAATTTTCTTTTTCTCATTTTGTAAAAGTAAACACACACACATATAGATACACACGTGACTTCCGGTCTCAAATGGAAAGCTGCGACTCCTCAAATGAATGCAAACAACTCATTGAGAGATTACAATAATCCTTGGGACAATGCTCGTCATGAACAATTTTGATGATGATAACCACAAGGTTTGAATGCCAGTTTTTCTCTCTGTTTTTTATTTGCAAAAAAAAAAATGATGTTTTGAAATAATTTTTTTGGATGAATATTGGGAGTAAAGTTTGAAATGATAATTGCGAGAGAATTTTACGAAAAGGTGGAGAAATTAAAGTATTTATTTGAGAAAGTTTTATTAAATTACGAAAATATATATTTTGACATTTTTTGAAAGATGGTAAATGTAAAAATATTTATATTTAATTGCAAGGATCTACAGTGAGGATTTTAATATTTACAATATAGGTAGTAAAGATTTTAATATTTACCTTATAGATTGCAAGATTTAAAGTAAAGATAGTGAATTATGTAGAAATGTATAGATTTACTGTGAGGAATATAAAATTTACAATCGAGATATATTAAGATCTACAACAGAGATATAAAATTATAGGATTTACAAAAAATAGTTTGTAGGATTTACAACAAAGATTATAGAATTTACAACAAAGATTATAGAATTTACAACAAAGATTATAAAATTTATAATAAAGATTGTAGAATTTGCAATAAATATTGTAGGATTTACAATCTATATTGTAGGATTTACAATAAAGATTATAGAAATTACAATAAATAATGTAGGATTTACAATATATATTGTAAGATTCACAGTACAGATTGTATGTTTTACAATATATTGTAAGTTTTACAATTCATATCGTAAACTTTACAATACATATCGTAAGTTTTACAATACATATCGTAAATTTTACAATACATATTATAATTTGTACAATGCATATTGAAAGTCTTAGAATACAGATTGTAAGATTTATAGTAAATATTTGAAAATTTATGAAGTAGATTTAAAAATTTACAGTTTAAATTGTAGATAGTACAATCAATTTCTGCCACATATGTCAGTGTAATTTGCTTAACCTTATAATTTAATTACTAATATTAACAATATCAGTAATAATATTAATATTATTATTATTATTTATTATTTATTCATAGTCCACACCTTTCGGTTTCGGACGAACTTCCGGTTTACATCTTTCTATTCTTATATTAATAATATTAATAATAACAATAATAAAAATAATAATAATAATTATAATCATAATAATTATAATAATCATAAAAATAACAGTAATAGTAATAATAATAATAGTAGTAATAATGGTATAATGTAATATCATAATATAATAATAATAATAATAATAATAATAATAATAATAATAATAATAATAATAATTAGATTAATAATTTAATGAGAGACTGTGTAATAAAAAATGTTTCTTGATATTGGAAAGTTTAGAAGACTCTTTTATGTAATAGTAAAAAAGTTATATATATATATTTTTTTTTTCAAGTTGAAAAACAATTTCAAAGAATGTAGTTTGAAAATAATTTCTGATAAAAAGTTAAGCCAACTTTTAGTTTTATGTTTCATATAACAGGAATGTGATACTCTTTCGTGAAGAAAGAGATAAAACTTGAGGATCACTTGCATAAAAAAAAGGCCAACATTTTTTTTAAGAATCTAGTAGGTTATAAATTGGCTTCTTTTCCGGTTCAACTCTTCTTGTTACATACACAATTTTTATTTTTTTTTTTCATTTGTTTTACCGGCAAGATTATATATATATAAATATATACAAAAGTAAAAGATTGTTATAATCTATATAAAATCTATTTTTTTCTCATCAAAAAAGTTTATTATTTTAGAATTTTTAAATTTTAATGTGTTTCTTTGAAGGGGAAAAATAAAGGTTTTTGATATTCAACAAATATATTAATAATTTAAAATAATATAATAAAGAAATTAAAATATATTAAATATTATAAATAATGCTAAAAATATAATTATAATAAATTTATATTTTTTTAATATGGAAAAAAAATGTTTTCTTAATAGTTAAAATAATCCTTTAATAACTTTCAGAATCAATCATTTTTCATATAAATTGTTCATTAAAAAAATTAAATTAAATTAAATTTTTTTTTTCTCGTTAAAAATATATTTTGCAGGGAAAAAAATTACTTAAAACTCAAATTACCTTGAAGTATGGAATAAATTTTTTGAAATTTCTTTAATTTTGTTTTTTTTTTTGTTCTTTTTTTTTTGTCATTTTAAAGAAGCATTTTACTACGCTCTGTAATTATACACTTTGGGTAGATAAAATTTTGTTGGAATATTCATGATTCCTCGTGTTTTAATCTGGCGCTGAGTTGTTTTTTAATTAATATTCCTCAAAAAATCAAGTTCATTTAAATTTGCAATTAACAATCGCGTACCATAGGTGATAAATGGTTATTTTTTTATATATTGGTATTAGTCAAGGTTTACAAAAAAATACGCGCGAAATAATTAAAATAACAAAAATATTTTTAAAAAATAATTAAAAAAAAAAAAAATAATAAATAATAATAAATAATAATAAATAACATTATTTATACATAATTAAGATATATATTTCATTCAATAAAGTGTATAAAAAGTATTATTTCTATCTGAATGAAAAGAAAGAAAGAAAAAGAAAATAATTGAGCTTTGTAGAATTTCAATTTTCACGTTCAAATTTCGCTCGTAGTTATTGAATTTCTGCGGTTATACGTATATCATAACTGTTTACAATCACTTGTTTAATAGTCATTTCAAAAAGGTACGTCATTCAGATGGTTTTTTTTACGCTTTTGCGTTGCGGCAAGTTTTTTTTTCACTTTTCCAAAATTTTCATTGAAAAAAAAATTTAGGTTATACATTATTATTATTATTTGTTCGTTTTTTAATTATTATTAATGCGACTTACCTTAGACAAGTTTTTGCGTCTGCGCATTTAAGTTACTAGAAAGATTTTTCGCTTGACGTCAATGTAAATTCGCTCAATGGGAAAATTTTCGAAAATTGCTTTCGTTTCTTGCTAAATTCTACATTGAAAAAAAAAAATTATTTTTTGATTCAAATAATTGACCAGTAAACTCGCTCAATGGGAATTTTCGAAAATTGCTTTCGTTTTTTGCTAAATTTTACATTGGAAAAAAAAAATTATTTTTTGATTCAAATAATTGACTAGAGATAATTATTTAGTTATATATAAAATAAAAATTAATTTAAATTTCAAATTTGTTTTAAATATGTAGAATAGATTAGAATTATTTTTTGGCATAAAAATTGATAATCGAAGAGAAATAAAAAAAAAATAGTTTTTAATCATAAAAATGTATAATATTTATTTATTAATAAATAACATATTAACTTATTAATTATTATTATTATATTAATTAATAATTAATAATTATCAATATTAAAATATTATTGTTAGTAAATAAATAATTTAACACTAGAATTTTTGCAAAATAATTTTTTTCTAATTTGTTAGTTTAAAAATTTATTTATTAAAAAATTTATATATTTATTGTTATGCTTTAAAATGGAATAAGAGCGTGAAATTGAAAAATTACAATTTTCGACTCGAAAGAGGATGCGATAAAATGAAATTGAATTTTATTTAAATTACATTGGCGACAACAGACTTATCTATCTCAATAACATAATAAATAATTCATTTCCTACTATATATATATATTGAAACTGTATTTACTTGAAATAAATAGATCTTTCTTTACGGTTGATACACTCGATTACTTGAAGTGCATCGATTGTTTGCCACATGAAATTGTTATGTGCAAGTTTTAAAAAAGTAAACAAATTTTCAAATATTTTAGTTGGATAAATTTGTTTTTATTTTATATTGTATAAATTTCTATTAAGCTATTTATATAATAATTTTAAAAAAAAATAATAATTTTATAATTACTTGGAATAAAGTTACTTTTTTTTGCAAGGGAAGCTAAAAATACATATTGTTGTCGTTTATACTTTTTATTATAATATTATTCCATTAGCAGTTTATTATAAACAGCTGCAAGGGATTCTTGAAGTTTCATGATGAACCCTAGAGATAAAAGTGGCTCTCATAGTAGCATTTATGCAGAAACAACACAGACGAGAAATCCCTGTTAAAAAAAAAAGTCAAAGCAGCGCTAAGCAGAAAACACGATTTTCGCGCACAACAAACAAAGGATTATTTGTCATTCTAACTTTATAAGTATATATATATGTATAATGATAACAAAATGTTAACAAATAATTTCTTATTTAATTGAGCTAAAAAAAACAGTATAAAGTTTTTTTTTCCCGTAATTAATTAAAAAATAGAAGAAAAAAATAAATATTGATTAATTTATTAATATAATTAACATTATATAGGGAAATTGTGATTGGATAAATTGTTGATTATTTATAAGAATTAGTGTCCCATTAATTATAATTTATAGACAAAAATGAGGATTTAATTTTTTTTTTTTTTATTTTTATAAGAGAGAAAGAAAAGTAATCAAGAAAAGACTTAAAGTCGTAACGAATGAGGAAGACTAAATCTTTGCCGGAGATTATCAAAATCCTGATTCACGGGAAGAGAATACATATAAGAACGTGAAATTTGCTTTTATTATAATAATCCTCTTTCATTGTCACTTTTACTATTTCCGTTTTATGAAAAATGTATTTCAATATTATAAATTTAAGATTCTTTTCTGCAAAAAAAAAATAATTTACTATTGTAATTGATATTATTTTTGTAAAGGAAGAAAAATACAAAATTCATTATAAAATCTATTTTATGAAAAAAAAGAAAGAAATTACTGAGGAAAGATCAATAAAAATTTAAATTATACAGCTTTATATCAAGTGCAAGGTTACATATTAGGTATATTAAAAGATTGTCGAAATGAAAGGTAATATTTTTCTGATCCCAAGGCCTGTCACGAAAAGCATTGAAAATAGATTCTAAAAACAAGATTGGCTTTATCCCTTTCAAATTTCATAAGAAGCTCCCATCAATTTTCAGGGAAAATTGCCGTCTACTTTACATGAACCTTTATATATATGCCATTTCTTACACGTAAATGTAATTTTCTCAATAATGCAAATTGTCATAATCGCTTTAACCTTTGTTTCCTT